ATTGTCTCCACTAATGAGAACAGAGGAGGATTTAATATGCAAAGGATGCGTTGGGCTCAGAGGAGACCAAACGTCCTCGCAATAGGCTGGATGAACAAAGGGCTAGCAGAAGTTACACTAAGAGAAGGAGAAGTGAGTCATCGCCCAGCATGCCAGCTCCAGAGACCCCACGCTGCAGCTGGCGTGCTGGGGTCACGTTTTGTGTAGCACATGGTTGCAGAAAAACGTCATCTTTTGCTGTATATCAGTATTTTTATTTTAAAATGCATTGGCTTTATAGTTGTGTTTCCATTTAATTGGTAAATTGCCATTGCTTTTGAAGTTTTATGTGCCATAAATATATATGCACACCTAGTGTTATGCCTAATATCTAATTAAACGACATCATACTACAGATAAATGATCACCACTGGGGGCATAGAGAATGTTTTATTCTCCTTTTCAGGGGAGCCACTGGAGAATTTTAAGCTCTGTGTTCATATTAGGTGTCATTTATTTGCAGGACTGGGGATTGAACCCAGGGGCATTCTACCACTGAGCTACATCCCAGCCTTTTTATTTCTTTGGTACTGGGATTTGAACTCAGGAGTGCTTTACTGAGAGGCGTTGGAGAGGCGTTGCTATGTGGCAGTCACAAGTCCTGAAATGGTGGGATTTTCTGCGTCAGTCCACTACAAATTGAGATTGGGACAGGTAGGTGTGATTGACACAGGGATTGATTCAAAGGTGGTGCAGCTCTGGAGACGCAGAACAGCTTATTCTTCTCAGGGGCCTTTGAACTTGCAACTGAAAAATAAGTGGGTTGGACTGGGTGATATTTTTGGCTGTACTTCTACACTCCTGGCAGTGGCCCACAGGAATGGTGCTGTGTGGGCTTTACTCATTAGGATGCCCGTGGACTCATTCTTGCCCACTGCTTGCTTTTCTCTGAATCCTGAAGGTAATTATTGCTGTGCTCAATTTTGCCCTGGTGGGTTGCCCTGTCCAGGATGCGCCTCTGAAGTGTTTAGAAGAAAGCAATGAAAGAATTACCACAGTGATTAATTAACGATGGTACTAACATTTCCAGTGAAATTATAGCTTTCAGCCCAAGTGACTGGAGAGGAATCTTAGAAATGTCATTTATCCTTTCAACAGTAAATGAAGTAAGTACTGCCCATCCTTGTGGCTGCGATGTTTTCTTCAAAACCTTCTGAAGAGTTCTGTCTCCTTCCACTTCCTTTCTCCACCCATGCCCATTTCCTCTCTCTATTCTCACCTGGTCATAATACGTAAATTTAAGATATCTTTTTAATATCATATCAATGAAGTACCTCTGTTTCTAATTTTAAAACAAGAGAATCCAAATTGTATAGAGTAAATGAATGTAGAAATGTTTGCTTTCAGCTGGGCTAGGTGGCTCACACCTGTAATCCCAGCTTCTCAGGAGGCCAAGGCAGGAGGATTGCAAGTTGGAGGCCAGCCTGGGCAAAATAAAAAGGGCTGGGCAAGTAGTTCAGCGGTAGAGTACCCCCGGGTTTACTTCATATACTTAAAAAAAAAAAAAAGCTGTGTGCAGAGGTTGACCTAAGCACCCTCTATGGTCATATGGTGAAGGAATCACATAACAGTGCAGAAGGTGTTCTGGCTTTCAGTGCTGCACGACTGTACACATAAAACCTGTAGGTGCTTGAGTTTTCCTCCCTGTGGGTCAGGTTCTCGTTAGAGAATGAAAGGGAGCAAGTTGGAATCATCCTCACTACCACCAACAATTCAGGGGAGCAAATATTTTGCTCTTATATTTTTTTAATCTCTAAGGCCTCTTTCACTTGCTAATCTAGTGACCAGATACCCTCCATTTCATAAAAGTGTCCGGCAGTACCCCAAGAATCCCAGCTTATGGGGACACAATACTGATGCACATGAGACAGAGTCCAGCACCAGACAGTAATCAAGGGCCACAAATTACACACAAAAAGGAAAGTGTTTGCTGCTACAGTCATATGAAAAGTAACACAGAGGAAGGACTTTTAGAATTTCCCTCTCCACATATAATATGCTCTTATTTCTAAGGAATTTTAAGTACCTCTTAAAATTCTTAAAACTCTCTAGCCAAGTGATTATGGTGATATGGAAAGAACATTAACTGATAATTAGGAAATTTATATTCTGAGTTCGGCTTTTCTGTATGGATGATTTGGAACAAGTCCCTTCTTCTTTCTGGGACTGTAAAATTAGGGGGGCTGAATTCCATGATCTTAAAAGTTCTTTCTGACTCCTGAGAATCTAAGGTACATGCAGCCGCAGTCTGAGTCCCTAAAAGCCACCCTCTTTGTTTTAGTCCTGGGGATTGGACCCAGGGGTGCTATACCAGTGAGCCCAGCCCATTTTATTTTTGATTTTGAGACAGGGTCTCACTAAGTTTCCCAGGCTGGCCTTGAATTTATGATCCTCCTGCTTCAGCCTCCTGAGTCATGGGTTATAGGTGTGCATCTTCACACCTGGCCTGACTCCCTAAAATTCTTGAAGCCTGTGAGAGCCTGTCAGTGTCTGTGGTTTGACAGAGCTGAAGGCCTAGGAGCAGGGAGGTTGGCGAGCTGGCTTCTCGGTGTCTCGTCCTGCTCTCGCCACTGCTTCTGGCAGAAAGCTGAGCAGCCACGCTGTGCTATCCCAGGTGAGACTGGCGTTCACAGATGGCCAGGTGTGGTGACTGGGCTTGATGATTGTCCCTGACAGCCTGCAGATTCTATCACATCAGACCAGTTGATCCTGTGATGAGTTGTTCAGGGGGTTTAAAGTGGGAGGCTTCTCATAAATTCTTTCATGCTGCCACTATCCTCCTTCCCCTAAGAGGGCTCCCACTTCATGGCTCTAGTCTTCTGAGCGCTGGTACTGACTCTGACCACCAGAGGGCACTCTTGCAATGTGGAGACCAACCGGTCTCTGGAAGCTGGGTCCCATCTTTGCCAGAACATCTGGATTTGCTGAAGCCTTTCCCTATTTAAGTGGTTCTCGATGGCCGTGATTTGCCTCCCTTTCCTCAGGGGACAGTTAACAACATCTGGAGACATTTTGGGTTGTCACATCGGAATGGGGGAAGGCGCTGCTGTTACCTACTCATTAGAAGCTCCGTTGCTGCTCAACATTCAGGAATATACAGCACAGCTCCCCACAGTGATAAAATTGTGCAGCCAAAATGTCAATAGTGCCATCCACCTGGACGTGGGTCCTCTAGGCTGAGCTGTTAGTGTCCTGGCTTCACCTACCCTGAAGGGAATTCTTAGACCAGTGACCTCAAAGCTTTCTTCATTGCCTGAGATGTGGGGGTCAGAGCCACCAGAAACCACTGAAAAGTCAGGCCCAGGACATAGGTGGGTCCCCATTATGGAGAAAGCCCTGACCTTGGGGCTGGCCTCTGAACAGGCCCCAGCCCCGTGACAGCATCATCCTCTTCCTCGTGCTGGGGCAGGCAGCAGTAGCTCTGCCTTCCCGGACAGAGTGTGTCGAGGGGAAAGCCCCTGGTGTGGGTCCTTCCTGCAGGCAGGGGATGGGCCTGGGGCTCTGGGGGCAAGTGGGAAGCAGGAATTGCCTGGAAAGAAAATCTGAGGTTCCCTTGTTGGCATGTGGGCTGAGGGAAGGAGACTGAGGTGGTCTCTCAGAAACCCTTCTCCTGGCAGAGGCCCCTGAGAAACGAGGGCCTGGCTTCCCTGCCACCTTGACCTCTCCACTGGGTGAGGACCCACCCCTGCCTCACTCTGGGCCTCTCCTTCCCTGCTCCAGCCATCTGGCAACGTGTCCACCACCTGAGGTCTGAGAGGCTGCCGAAAGGCAGGTGAGGGGATTGGAAGGACAGGACAGACACACTGGGCCAGCTCTGAGCCTCTGTGGCTCCCTAGTTCACGCTCCATGTGGGAGAAAGGCCTGGAGACACAGCTCGACAAACCCGAGCAGTGTAACTGGAGACTGGAGATGGCAATGTGTGTGATGGCCTTGGCCCCTTAGCACCCTTCTCTGTTGGCATGTCCAGGTGTAAGCAAAAGATGCACGCGCTCTCACGTGCCTGCCCATGCCCCCAGACCCCCAGGGCTTCAACTCTGCTCTGTTAGGGGGTGGAGGGTGGGCAGAGAAAGAAGGACCCCTGGCAAGGGCCTCCTTACCAAGTCCTTGGAATTCTGCCCAGAGGGCCTCCACGGGGCTCTGAGGGCCATTCTGTGGAGATCTGAGGGTCATTCTCTGCTCTTCCTGAGGGTCTTTCTTGAAGCTGGTTTTCCATGTTGCTCAGAAGCTCCTGGGGCTATGGCTTCCTCAGCCTTCTCTTTCTGAGTTGACCGCAGTCACTGGGTTGCTTGCTGCTCTTGCTCCAGGTCCCAGACCCTCCCCAACCACACTCCCCCTTCCCTGAGGACTCTGGAGGAACAGAAAGCAGGAGGAATGGAGTGGGGAGAGGGGTGGCCACGGAGAGGGCAGTTTGCCACGGGTATTTTATTCAAGTATTACAGAGATGAGGAAGCCAGCCCTCCCTAGCCACCTGCCTGGGGCTTGGGGCAGGGGAGACAAAAGAAAGTGCCTACAGGGGACAGGAGCCACCAGGGCCCAGAAATCAGAGGGATGGAAGAGAAGGGCATGGAGGTGTGGGAGAGTGACTGGGGACCGTGGCCTGGACAGGGAGAAGAGCCCAGAGAAGACAGGAGTCACCTGAGACTCAGCCCCTCCCCAGCACAGTCCTTAATTTCCTCCCTCAGGGGCAGGCATGGAGTGATTGAAAGGATGGAAACCTTAACCTCATTTCTCTCAAAGAAAATTGAGATTGAATGTCTCCTTAGTCTAATGAGCAAGTTGGCGGGAGAAGAGGGTCCCTGCCTTGTTTTCCCCACCCCACACTGGTGTCTTCCTGCCATGCCCCCTCTCTTGGTCCAATTTCAAATTCTTTTGCAGTTTTGGCTGGTGTCCAGCCAGGAGGAAGGTGGGCAAGAGGAGAGATGGCGTTTGCAGACTGCTGCCCTTCACATCTTCCTCTCCAATTAAGGAGGGTCCAAGGCCCACACGACCTTGAGGTTTTCCAAATTGGGGGACTCAGAGTTTTCCTCCCCAGGTTGGAGTCTGTGGGTCTCTGAGGAGATGCCCTCCCTGGGGTTCAGGCAGCCCTTGGCCCCTGCCACAGCATCAGGTTTTACCTCCAGCCCCTCAGGCCTGAGCGACAGGAGTCGCTCACCGGGGCCCTGGCCCAACCCGGCCAACAGGGGGAGCCCTGGAAAATGCCAGGACCCTGGGGAGAAGCCGGGTCCTGGAAGCAGGGTGTCTAGCTTGGGGGTCCCTGGGAGCAGCTGCTCTGAGGAGAGAGGAGTCGAGAAGGGCCCTGAGAGGCCAGTCCAGTTGGAAGGGAGAGGAGGCAGAAGAGCGGGGGTGAAGGTGGCAAGGCTGGGCAGCTCGCCTTGGGGGTTCCCAAAGTGGCAGCAAGGGCCCAGCCGGCAAGGGCCCAAGGCAGAACCAAGTCCTAGAGGAAGAAAGAGAAAGGGTCAAAATGGCGCCTTCCTCTCGGAGATGCCACTCACTCCTCCCATTTCCCATTCCTTTCTCCTCTGGCTCCAAAGCCTCTCCCTGACCCCACCCCCTTTCCTCCCCTGTTTGCTTTTGTTCAGGTTCATCCTAAATGGCTTTTCCTGGGGCTGGGGATGTGGCTCAGCGGTAGCGCGCTCGCCTGGCATGCGTGCGGCCCAGGTTCGATCCTCAGCACCACATACAAACAAAGATGTTGTGTCCGCCGATAACTAAAAAATAAAATATTAAAATTAAAAAAAAAAAAAAAAAAAAAAACTAAATGGCTTTTCCTCCGGGAGGGAGGCTTCCCAAGACTCCCAGCCTCGGTGGGAGCATGGCTGCCCGCAGTCCTCACTCTCTGTACCTCTACTCGGGGCACCTAGCTCCTTAGAATCATGCTGTCATCTGTGTACTTATGTATGCAATGTCTGTGCCCCAGCTCAGTGTGGGCACGACGTGTATTTATTTTTTCTTTCCTGAACCCAGCCCAGCCTAGCACACATCGAGTGCCTCAGTAAAACCATGGTGAGAACCAGGTGTGGTGGCACAGGCTGTAATCCCAGCTATTTTGGAGACCAGGCTGGGCAAATTTAACAAGACCTTGCTTTAAAATGAAATATACAAAAGCTGGGGTGGCAGTCACTGGTAGAACCCCGGGTTCCATCCCCTGTATCCCAGAAACAAAACGAAACACACTGAGAGAAGCAAAGGGTGCTGTTTGCCAAAACGCAGTGAATCCATCTTTTGCCCTCCCTGTCCCTGCAGCGCAGAGCTCGAGTACTAGCTGGGCAAAGAATCTGTGGTGTGGTCTTGGGCTTGTTGCTTAAATTTGAAAGCCTCTTTCTTCATCTGCAAAGTCCCTTATCCTGGCTAAGATCAGGCAGCATCACTGGTAATAAGGGAACTGCAGAGATCGTGTCTGTGAGCCCAGGATGGATGAGGGGTGAATCCCAGCTTCCTCTTCTCTGTCTGCATCTGGGCCCCATAATTCTCCTCCTCCAAGAACCCTGCCCTCACCCCATTCCTTCCAAATCTGCCCTCTTTCCTCTTGCCATCTGCCAGGATCCTGTGCTAGGGATGCCTAGCCTGGACCTAATTAGCTAGACCTCCAAACCATTTTCTGTATTTCAAGTAGCCTGACTGCAACTCCACATTTTTTCTCATTTTTAACTTAAAGAGGATAGGAACAAGGTAGCCACATCAGCAGGGGAGTGTAATGAATAAAAATGGGGAAGACAAATTCATTATTATTTAATAATAAAGTCAGATCATGAAGCATCAGTGATCCTCCATGGGAAAATGTAGGAGACCCCTGTCAGAGTATACCCTCTTGTAGGCCAGTGTTCTTTTTTTTTTTTAATTTAATTTTTTTTATTAGCTACACATGACATTACAATGATCTTGGCAATTCATACATTTGAATCATTGGGTATAATTTCTCATTTTTCTAATTGTACAGATTGCAGAATCACACTGGTCATAGTCATCTATATACATACAGAAACATAATGTACTAGGCCAGTGTTCTTTGTCTTGGGTTCTTAGATGGTGTGGGGACTTGTTTCCCAGGAAGGCTGTTTCCTCTGGGTGTTCCAGCCAAGCAGGCAGAGGACAGGTTTCTTTGTTTTGTTTTTTTGTATTGGGATTGAACCCAGGGAAGTTTTACCACTGAGCTATATCCCTAGTCTTTTTATCTTATTTATTTATTTATTTGTTTTTTTGTGGGTATTTTTTTTTTTTTTTTTTTGAAACAGGGTCTTGCTATGTTGCTTAGGTTGGTTTTGAACTTGTGATCTTCCCATCTCAGCCTCCTGAGCCACTGGGATTATAATGTGTGCCACCGCGCCTGGCTCCAGGGGAGATGTTTCTAAGGGTCCTCCCATACCTCTCCCACCCCTTCCCCAACCCAGCCCTGCAGCTTCCTGGCTCTAGCTCAGTCCCCACACTCTCCTGTCCAGAAGCAACTTCCTCTCTTGGCATCCTGTGCTTTGAGTGAGGCTGGGGGTATGATTGGCACAGGGTTCTGGGTGGTTTTATGGTGCTGGGGATCAAACCCGGCTTGGTACACTCTAGACAAGTGCTCTACCACTGAGCCACATCCCCGGCCCGTTTTTATTTTATTTTGAAACAGGGTCTTGCTGGCCTGGCAACTTGCCATCCTCCTGCCTCAGCCCCCCAGGGCACTGGGTCTACAGATATGTGCCYGGCTGACACGGGGTTGGGAATCCCAGTTCAGATGGAGCATTCCGATGATAACCTTCACTAACCTCCTGGTGATCTAAACCTGTTGTGTCCTTCAGGGTCAAGTGTGGGCAGGACCTGTGTGCTCCAGGAGGGCAGAGATATGAAAGAGTCCCCTCCAAGCTGGGGCTTAGGAAAGGAACCCTTTTCTTTTCCTCATTGTTTTCTAARGAGGGACACTCTATGCCTAGGGCACTTTCGGGGGGCGGGGTGGAGAGACAGGGAGGGCTCTTCAGGTGCTGTTCGGTTCCARGCTGTCAGACTGGTGGCCTAGCGAGTCCCAGCCTGCCCAGGGCTGCCCTACACCCGCAGCCTCAGCTGTTCTCCCAGGGGCACAGAGTCTGGGTCCCCAGCTGCACCTGGAGTAGGCCAAACACTGAGGATCCTTATTCCATGAAACCAGGTGGAGCGGAGGGGTAGTTCTCTGGTCTCTGCACAGTAGCTTTGGATTGGTTGAATATCTGTGTGATCTTCTCCATAGAAAATCTAATTTTGTTGTTCTAGGAGCTAATCAGCCTGGGAGGTTGAGGCAGGAGAATTGCAAGTGTGAGGCCAGCCTTAGCAAATTAACAAGATTCTGACTCAAAGTAAAAAATGAAAAAGGACTGGGAAAGTAGCCCAGGGGTAGAGCACCCCTGGATTGATTCCCAGTACCAAAAAAAAAAAAAAAAAAAAAAAAGCTAACTGGCTTCTGTCTGTGTTTTCACCTTCTCCCACACCATCCCAAGTGCCAAGCCACTGGCCTTCTCCCGGTTCCTCTTTCTGTCCCAGGGCTTTTACACACTCTGCTTGCCCTGATCTCCCTGCTCCCTCTGAGCTCAGCTGACATCTATGCACACTTTGGGTCTCAGCTCCTATGTCACTGTGTTGGGGAAGTGTGATGCCCTCGGCACCCTCAACTTCTCCTCGGTAGCGCGTAGCAGTTATAACTGCATACCTCTTAGTAATTGAACGTATGCACCCCCTCTTGCTTACAAGCCCTGTAAAGGCACCCCCAGTCCCTAAGACAGTGTCTGGCACGCTAAACAGAAAGTTATTAAACATCTGATGCAAGGAGCGAGTGAATGAGTGAGTAAATCAGCGAGTGAACTGTGTCTTCTCCATCTGCCTTCAGCTGAGGCGCCTCCTTCAGCCCCTGGCTCTTGTCTTGGTCTCACTGTCTCCTGCCTGGATTATCTTCAAAAGCCTCTCAATGCCAGTCTTGTGTCTCCTCCAGTCCCAACTACACACAGAGCAGAGATATCCCTTCACTTACGGTAGGGTTAAGTGCTGGACAAACCCATTGTAAGTTGAAAATATTGCAAGTCAAAAGAGTATGTAATATACCTAACCTACAGAATATCTTAGCTTAGCAACAAGGGGCACTGTAGAGCATTGGTGGTTTCCCCTTCTGACATGTAGGCGATCCGCAGCTGTGGCTCCCAGGCAAAGATCAAAACCCAAAGTTCCAAGCATGGTCCATACTGAATAGCAGATAACTTTTTGCCCTGTTTGAAGTCACACCATTATAAGTTGGGAAACTCCTGTAATTCTTATCAAATGAAAATCTGAGCCGGGCCCTGGTGGTACATGCCTGTAATCCAGTAACTCTGGAGGCTGAGACGGGAGGATTGCAAGTTTGAGGGCAGCCTCAGCAACTTAGAGAGACCCTGTCTCAAAAATAAATAAATAAATAAATAAATAAATGGAACTGGAGATGTAGTTTATTGGTAGAGTACCCCCTGCGTTCAATCCTCAGTACTCTTCCCCAGTATCTGAACTTGCTCTCCCTCCTGGCCCCCTCCTACCCGTAGGATAAAGTCCAACTGCCCTAGAATAGTTTCTAAGGCCTTCTGGGGCAGACACCGGTTTGCCTTGCCAAGTCCGTCTTTGGCTGCTCCTTCTTATTCCGACCCCATCATATAACTTACTCTGACCACAGCAAGATACTAGCAGGATGCCAGATTTGCTATGCTTGCCAACTGCTTTCTTTAAAGATATTTTATTGTAGATGSACACAATACCTTTATTTTGTTTGTTTATTTATTCATTTTTATGTGKTGCTGGGGATTGAACCCAGTGCCTYACGCATGCTAGSCAAGCATTCTGCCACTGAGCCACAACCCCAGCCCTTGCCAACTGCTTTTTACTTTGCAAATTCTATTCCCTCTGCCAGGGCGTCTTTTTTTCACCTGCTGAGGTGTGGCCTTGTCCAGGAAACCCCATCTCCTCCTGTGTATCTCCCCATTACCTTGTTCTTGCCTGAATCTCAGAACTGGTCCCTGACAGTCCTCACCTTTCTGTTCCCCATTAGGCTCTCAGTTTCTTCCTCCCTCCCTCCCTCCCCCCCCCCCCCCCTTCCTTCCCCAGGGATTGAACCCAGAGGTGCTTAACCACTGAGCCACATCCCCAGCCCCATTTCTTTGTATTTTATTTAGAGACAGTGTCTCACTGAGTTGCTTAGTGCTTCGCTAAGTTGCTGAAGCAACTTCGCTAAATTGCTCTGAATTCGTGATCCTCCTGCCTCAGCCTCCCTTACCTTGGGATTAGAGGTGTGTGCCCCCACGCCTGGCAGGTCTGAGTTTCTTGAGGGTCATCTTTCATATCTGAGTCCCCACACCTAGTAAATAGCTGTGCCTGACCAATGTTGGTTGAGTGAATGAGTGAATGACTTGAGTGCTTTTCCTGGTCTCACCCTGCTTAGCCGTGTACTCAGCCGGGAGGGCCCTCCCCTTCTCTGCCCCTACCCGTTCTCTGCACTCACGGTGGACGGTGCTGCTACTCCCCTTCTTCTCCCCAGTAGCCTCTGGTGGCCCCTGGGGGGTCTGCAGTCCAGCCAGTTGCTCCGCCATGGCCCGGTGGGTAAACAGCATGTTGTGCAGGAGCTGAGGGGTGAGGAGAAGGAGGGGAGGGGGTGGACTCACCCTGGCATCTGTTCCTCTGGAACATGCCTGTACCTCATCACCCAGTTCAAAAACYGAAATACCCCCATACTGGTGGTTAACAGCCATCACTTCTCACAACGGAATTCCACAACGGAATGAGTGACACCGGTCACAGAAGTCACCCTTTCTCCCAGGGGTGTACCATATGGACTGTTACATACCCCTGCTCCTGGGGTCCTCAGGGACGAGGATGTGGGAAAAGAAGAGCATCAGAGGCCAATGAGATCCCAAAGGCAGAGAGCAGGGACAGGAGCTTCCTGGGCAGGGGCAGGTCCTGGTAGGGCTCTGGAAAGGGCCATCTTCATGCCTACCTCACTCTGCACACCCGTGGGCACCAGGGCTGGCCGACCCAGGGGGGGAGCCCCCAGCAGCAGGTGTGGGGGTGACGGTGCCCGCACTCCCCACAAAGGGCAGTTGACGATGATGAGCTTGCTGAAGTTGAACTTGTAAGTGAACCTCTTCCCTTTGGTCTTGTGCAGGATCCTCTTGTTGTAGTAATACCTGGGGAAGGGAGGTCGACAAGGAGTTGGTTCAGTGGGAAGGGGGCAGAGTCAGAGCCCCCTCCCTGGGCCAGCAGAGTTGACCCTGCTGTCTTGAGGACCCTGGGCCTCTTCCCACATGGAAGGACATTTCCTAAGCCTGGGAGGAGTGGGAACAGAACCGGGTGTCAGAAATCAGCCCTTTTCTTTGAACTCTGTACACTCCAGTTGCGCTGGCCGCCGCCTCTCACCTGAGGGCCCGGCTCAGCTTGTCATAATTCATCTGTGGTTTGCATTTCCTGCGGCCCCAGAGGCGGGCCACCTCATCGGGATCCTTGATGACAAACTCCCCATACTCTCCCTGCTGCCAGGCGATGACATGGCGGAACTCTTCCTTCTGCAGCAGCTCCAGGATGAAGTGCCACAGCTGGATCTGCCGGGAGCCGGGGGACGACTCGGCTTTGTAGGCCCAGTCAGGGAAGGCCACGCCTGGGGTGGGGAAGTGAGAGTGAGGGCGCCCTGCTTCTCCAGAGGCCCCCAAAGCCGCTGCGAGAGCATGGGAGAGCTTCAGAGAGGCTCACCTGAGATCCAGTAGTTGCCAGGGGTGGCCGGAATGCCCTCAGCCAGGCAGCCACAGTGCATGGTCCCCTCCAGGTGTCAGAGGACTGGGGCCGGACCTGGGGGGAAACGGTCACCACTAAGAGGAAGGGGAAAAGGAAGGGATGGAGGGTCAGGAAGGAAACTTCCCAGTCTCAGGGCAGGGCCCAGCCTCCTATGGGGACCTCCTCGCTGCCCAGAGGCTGACCCAGGACTGGGCTCGGGGCTGAACCACTTACACAGAGAGAGAGGAAGGCAAAGTTCCTGTGTCCTGTCCCCACGGGGCGGGGGGGATTTAGACATGGAACAGAGGATCTCTTCTTAGGCTTAACAGGATTGGAGTTTTCTCCAAGAGAAGACAAGAGAAAATGTGATTAATTGCTGACTCTTTCTAAACCTTGAATGGGGAGGAGGCAGCATGTACACATATCTGTCTGTACCTTAATAGTACTTGGAACAGTTTTATTTGAGATGAGCAAAGATTTTTGCTTGTTATTTTCACCAATGAGTTCCAGGGGCCTGGCACACAATAGATGTACAACAAATGATGACAATAGAATAAATGAACAGCATCATTTTTTAATGCGTGTGCTTTCCCTCAGAGTGTTGATTACAAAAAGTCGGGAACCTTGTCTGTCTGGCTCACTGCTGACACCCTAGGTATTGAGACTATTTATTGAATTAATGAACCATGGGAGAGCTGGCTGCAATGGGGCATGCCTGTAATTCCAGCAACTTGGGAGGCTGAGGAAGGAGGATTGCAAATTCAAGGCCAGTTTAGGCAACTTAGCGAGATCCTATCTCAAAATAAAAAATAAAAAGTCTGGGTTTGTAGCTCAGTGGTAGAGCACCTCTGGGTTGAATCCCCTGTACCAAAAATGAATGAATAAATAAATAACCATGGGCACAAAAGAGGGGAAATTGATTGCTGGTTCTCAACTGATAGGGGTGGGGTAGGGAGGGGAGTTTGGAATGAGCCCCAGCGAGTCAGACTTGTAGGTGAAGGGAGGACAATCACTGTTGAAGGAAGCAGGGCACAGTGGCACATGTCTGTAATCCCAGTGACTCGGGAGGCAGGAGGACCACCAGTTCAAGGCCATCCTGGGCAACTTAGCAAGACCCTATCTTCAAATTAAAAAATAAATAAATAAATGAAAAGGATTGGGGATACAGCTCAGTGGGAGAGTACTCTGGGTTTATCCCCAGGACAACAACAACAACATCATCATCATCATCATCATAGAAAATGTTGAAGCAAAGCCTTCCATATGGAACAAAGGATGTCAGTACAAGACTGGTTTTTGCTGTCACTAGTGAAACATGAGACAATGTGCAAGAGGACTGGGAAGGAATGGGAGAGGTGGCCGTGGGGACGTGGGGACTGCTTCGGGGTGGTCGGGGCAGGGGAGATTCCTGTGTGTTTTTAGGATTGCGTGCAACCAGGATTACACAACCTGGCCTCTGGGGTTTCCTCTCCGATGATGACGCTTTATTCTCAACTAGAATTTGTTAGGCGCTCAGGTCTGGAGGACGTGATGGTGTGTCTGGAGCAACCTCCCCACATTCCAGAGGAGCTTAGTGAGGGAAAGTGAGTTGACCAAAGACACCTGGAGAATTAGTCGCCACTCCACAGCACTTTCTATTAGACCCAGTTGCCTGAAGACTTTAAAGAAGCTGGGCGTGGTGTTGCCACCTGTAATCCCAGCTTCTCTGGAGGCTGAGGCAGGAGGATGGACAAGTGAGTGAGACCCCGTCTCAAAAATAGGGCTAGGGATGTAGCTCAGTGGTAGACAGCCCTGGTACTGGGGGTGGGGGGAGTCCTCTTTTGTCCTAAAGTGAGCGCTTCTGTCTCACTTTAGGAACTTCGGCTGGAAATGGGATGTGTTTATGCAAAGGTGAGAGGTTTCGAGGTAAGGCTGTTCCCTGGAGGAAGCAGATGGAATTCTATAGCTTGCTCTGGTGCCTGTTAGATCTGGTGGTGTTTCCAGGTCTGGAGGATCTGGGACCTCATGGTAGATCTGGGATCTGGCAAGAAGAGTACAATTAAACCCACCACTGGAGACCCTCACTGTGCCTGCATAAGGGACTGAAATTGACATAGGCTGAGACCTCACACAAGGTATAGGCTCAGGGGGCACATTCGAGCACATTCTGTAAAGCTGTACAGCTAAGTGAAAGAGTGGGAAGCAATACTGAGTCAAGATGTAGCTGTGCTCGGTGGTGCGCTCCTGTAACCCCAGTGGCTCTGGAGGCTGAGGCAGGAGGATCGAGAGTTCAAAGCCAGTCTCGGCAATGGTGAGGCGCTAAGCAACTCATTGAGACCCTGCCTCTAAATAAAATATGAAATAGGGCTGGGGACGTGGCTTAGTGGTTGAGTGCCCCTGAGTTCAATCCCTGGTATGCACCCCCACCCCAAGAAAAAAAAGATTTAAAAGATTCAGCTGCCAAGGTAGGCTTGCAATACTCTTTCCCTGCTCTTTAAAAAGGAACAAAAACAGAAATGTAAACACAAAACAAAGTGGTAGCCTGGTGCATTGGGGCACACCCATGATATCAGCATCCCAGGACACTGAGATAGGAGGATTACAAGTTCAAGGCCAGTCTCCGAAATTTAGTTACACCCTAAGCAACTTAGTGAGACTCTCAAAATATAGGCTGGGGGGTGCTGGGGATGTGGCTTAGTGCTTAAGTGCTGCTGGGTTCAATCCCTGGTACAAAACAAAAACAAAACAACAACCCCAGGCCAGCCAAACAAAAAAGGAAGTGGTACCTTCCCAGCCTCTCCTGGGTTAAGCCTCACTTGTGGATCCTCAGCCCTCCAGCAGCCTGCCAGCTCTGTGTATGGAAAGCCTTACTTTTTAATTTTTTAAATTTTTTGCAGCACTGGGGATTGAACCCAGGGGAGCTCTAACACTGAGCTACATCCGCAGCCCTATTTCGTATTTTACTTTATTTTTGAGACAGGGTCTCTCTAAATTGCTGAGGCTGGCCTCAAACTGATGATCCTCCTGAATCAACCTCCTTAGTCTCTGGGATTACAAACGTGTGCTACTGCACCCAGTCCTTTCATTCCCACTCTGTCCCCTCCTCCTGGTCCTCTAGGCCCTGGGGCTCCTTCCCCCTTATGCTGTGGATTAATCACACAAAGCTTCTTCAGCCCCTGCCACCCCCCAGCAACACCCTTGCAGTGGCCTGAGAGGAGGACGAGTATTAAGAACTATAAATCAAAAAGGACTGTAACCCAATCTTGAATGGCCAGCGTGGTTTGTCTAAAGCACTTTGGGTTCCTGGAAGGTTATAGCAGCAAGGAATTGCTGTCATCATCACCATCATCATCATCATCATCATTCTGATTATAACAATAAGGTTAATCCTCTTGGCTAATATAACTGTTCATTACAACACATGTAGGTTTTAGATCATTATTTAATAAAAGCAATATAAATAATGATGATAACATTGGAGACTAAGTCTGAAGAGCCAAAGGAAATGTCCGAAGCAAATTCTTCCTTTTCAAGATTGTCATTAATATGAATTGGGCCTCTGTCACCCGCTTAACACTGGACTTGACTTTTTTTTTTTCAAGTGGAACTTCATTGATTCTTCACAATAATCCTTGGAGGTGGCTATTAGCTACGTTTTGCAAGCCGAGGAAATTAAGGCTCAAAGAGATTAAAAGACTTGCATAAGATCCTGGCTAAGGGGTGGAGCTGGATGGGAACAGGTCTGTCTGACTCTGAGCTGAGCTGCAATCAGTCCATCAAGGCAGAAAAGTTGAGGATGAAACTTTGGGAGCAGAGAGGTGAGGCTGGCGGGAGGCCCTGAGCCCCTAAGGAGGCACTGCACTCCCACCCTATGATGTGAATTTACAAAATCAAGTGCTGTGAGTAGGTGAGGTGGAGTCTCCCAGGTTCCTAAATGTCCATTTTTTTTTTTCCTTGCCAGAAAAATATTTCACAGAGATCCCAGGAAGTCAGAGAAGAGCCAACCAGATGGACAGAGAGGACAAGAAAGACAGGATCATACACAAATACACATATTTAAAAAGCCAAGAGTGTTTAAGCCCAATGTTACAGGTATGCAAACAACAAACAAACAAAACCTGGTACGGAAAGTCATTTTGTGGTTAGGGGCCTTCCAAGCAGCTGGAATGAATCGACTATGTAATCTGATCGATTGGACAAAACCCGAGTCTTCCCAGGGACTGCTTGATTGATTCAGTGGGAAAATGGAACTGTTTATAAATACAAAGGCCGACCGTCGGGATCAGCGAGAGGGAGAGTGAACCAGAGAGGAGACAGAAATAGTGATGCAGATAAGGTCGAGTATGGCCCGGGGTTGGGGGCTGGGTGAAAGATGAGCCCCAGGGATCAGGGTGGGAAAGAAGCCCCTCAGAGACAGCGGTGGCAGTCCCCAGGGGATATTTTATGCTTGTTAGCTTTGAACAAACTGCACAGCCCCCTCCCGTCCGCCAAATCCCCAATCTGATTAGGAGCCTCTGGTCTCTCCCCTTGATCTCGGCCCCAAGTGGAGGGTGGGGAGTCCTGGGACCTGCTTAATGCTATTAAGTAAAGCTGCTTAGGTAGGAGAGCAAGAAGAACTGGGGGCTGGGAGGGCAAAGCAGGCCACCGTACCTGGGGGAGTTTAGGGAAGGGGCAGCCTCCCCTCAGTCTCCTTTCCCTTCCTCCCTGACCAAGGGACATGCTGGCAGAGACCGGGGCACCTTGAACCTCTGCCCCTCCTGCTGGGGATGGGAGTCAGCTCCTCCAGCAGCCTCAGCCCACCCTCTCCCCTCCTCGCCCGAGCTGCCTCCGGGCTCCCTCTCCAGTCCCCTTGCCTAGACCCAGATCTTGGCGCAGTCCCTGCTCCCAACCTGCCCCTTGCTGCTCTTGTCCCTGGTCCCTAGGGGCCTGGGATTTAAAAGGTTTATGTGACTCCCGGGAACAGAAATCCAAACCCAGACTTCCAACCTGGGGAGCASTCACGCGGGCAGTCGAAGGTCAGGGGGAAAGTCACTGACCTCACACACACCCTAAGGGACCTCA